ATCAATATCATGGGGCGAGACCATAGAGCTATCAAAGAACGTCAGATACAAAATTGTAGACCTGTAGAAGGCTGGAATGGGCTACAAGACCATCAGCAAAAGCTTGGTGAGAAGGAGACAACTATTGGAGCAATTATTTGCAAATGGAAGAAATTAAAAAATAACCATCAATCACCCTCGGCCTGGAGAAAGATTTTGCCTCGTGGGGTAAGGATAATCATGAGAAAATTGAGGGATTAGCTCAGAACTACATGAGAGGAGCTTGTGAATGATTTCAAAGCAGTTGGTCACCAAACAATTGGTAACACAATATGCCGCCATGGATTGAAATCCTGCAGTTCCCACAAGGTCCCTCTCCTCAAGAAGGCACATGTACAGGCCCATCTGAAGTTTATCAATGAACATTCTAAATGATTCAGAGAAGGATTGGGAGAAAGTGGTGCGATCAGATGAGACCAAAATTGAGCTATTTGGCATTAAATCAAGAAAAAAATGCTGACTTTGACCCTAAGAGCACCATCCGTACAGTCAAGCATGAAGTTGGAAACATTATGCTTTGGGGCTGTGTCTCTGCTAAAGGTACAGGCTGACCTTTCCACATTGAGGGACCAATGGACAGGGCTATGTATTGTAAAATCTTGGATGAGACGCTTCTTCCCTCAGCCAGAACATTAAAGATGGGTCGTGGATAGGTCTTTCAGCGTGACAATGACCCAAAACAAACCACCAAGGCAACAAAAGAGTGGCTCAAGAAGGAGCACATTAAGGTCATGGAGTGTCCTAGCCAGGCTCCAGACCTTAATCTTATAGAAAATTTATGGTGGGAGCTGAAACTTCGAGTTGCCAAGTGACAGCCAAGAAACCTTAAGGATTTAAAGAAGATCTGTAAAGAACAGTGGACCAAAATCCCTCCTGAGATGCGTGCAGACCTGGTCACCAACTACAAGAAATGTCTTACCTCTTGATAACAAGGGTTTCTCCAACAAGTACAAAATCATGTTTTGCTTCTTGGGGATCAAATACTTATTTTACTCACTGAACTGTAACTCACTTTATAGAATTTGTATCATGTTTTTTTCTGGCTTTTGGGTTGATATTCTGTCTCTGTCATTTAAAATACACCTATGATAAAAATTATAGACCATTTCATTGTAAGTGGGCAAACCTACAAAATCTGCAGGGGATCAAATAATTTTCCCCACTATATGCCCTCAGACTTGCCAGCATTCCCTCTATCAGATTGACCTCTCATCATGATGCTCCACCAACACTGAACATAGGAAAACATCCTGCCATTATATATATATATATATATATATATATATATATATATGTGTGTGCTCCTCCCACCCTGCCTGACATAATGACATGGTGGTGGGACACGGACACTATAATTGGCATCACTGCTCTTATGTACGCTTCACCTGCCCCGCCCAATGTGATGACGTCAAGGGCTCATAACCAAAACAACCATCAACACAAAAGAAATAATCCTTCCAATATTCTCTTGTCAAATAGCAATAAATAAAAGGGAATCAAAAAATATATTCTAGTTGTATCTAAGAAGATGAGTGGAAATACCATAACAAACCCCCACTGATACTACAACAGAGAAAGGTGGAAATTTATAATGGATCTTACACTGAGTGTCCAAAGTTAAAGAATTACAAAAATGGCTGAAAACGTATAGTCTCGTTTAAATTTGGGGCTTAGTGGCTTGTAATGAAAATATCCGCTTTGCTCTCTTTGTAAAAGTAACTAGTCAATATCCCATCCTCTTTCATGGAGGGGTATATGTTCTAAACCAAGGAATTGAATTTTAGATAAATCAAAATGGTGGTAAAGTCCTACGTGCTGGCTTATTGAAGTCTCAAACCTTTTTATGATAAGAAACACATGGCCACAAATACGTTTATAAAATGCACGCTTAGTTTTCCAACATAAAATGACCCACAGTCACACTGCATATAGTAAACAACACTAATGATTTGGCAGTTAGCAAAAAATCTGGGTGTGTACATTGACCATTTGGTAGTAGAATACGTTATGCGCTCATGACATATCAACAGTATTTCCATCTTTCGCAAGAGAAGGTAGCCGTCCTTTCGGTGGGCGCTACAACTTCCTTAACAAAGTAACTGCGTACTAATTGGTCCTTCAAAGACCTAGATCTTTTGAATGTAATTTCTGGATGGATACCAATATATTTAGATACAGTATCATCTGCTTGTACCTTCCTAATAAATATTGTACTTGTTTGTGTTAATCAGTATATTGAGTAACAGTCCCTGGGAGTAGAGGGTTTGGTACAAGCTTTCTTTTGATGAATTAAAGTGGATCTATCAGCTTCTTTTGCATGATTGTATGCTTTCCTCAAACAGGATCTACTATATCCTCTATGTAGGATGCTTGTCTGCAAGGACTTCGCTTCTCTTTCAAAATTCATAGAATGGGTACAGTTACGTTTGATCATCAAGTATTGAGTGGGTGCAGTTACATTTGATCGTCAAATATTGAGTGTAAGGAATACTTGAAATCAAAGCAGTGGGGTGGAAACTCGTGGCGTGCAAGATGGCATTTTCCACTGATGGTTTCCTAAACAGGGATGTCCCAACACTCCCATCAGGAAGGATATAGATTTCAACATCAAGGAAGGTAATGAATTTTTTATCAAAATTAATGGTGAATTGTAAAGTAATTCACAACCAAGTAAGATAAAAATGTTTGTAATTCCTGATGGGTGCCGCCTCAAATGAATAGAATATCATCAATGAAACAATGCCATCTGCTGATCCTATTCAGATCATCTTGTAGATCCTCCATTCTCACCCCCCCCCAGGTACAGGTTGGCATATGAAGGGGTACAACGGGTCCCCATAGCCACATTGAGTTGTAAAGGGCCTCAACATCGACTGCAACTAACCATGCCCTTTCTGAGACATGCATCCCATCCAAAATTATTAAGAGGTCTATAGTATCCTTGACATATGAGGATAATGATTTCACATGTGGATATAAATTTTCATTAACAAGCTGCCTAGCCTTTTCAGACACAATCTGATGTCCTGGGGGATGCATTCGCTTTTTGTGGATTTTTGGCAACACATATAATATAGGAGTTTTGGGGTGTTTGATATTTAAAAAGGCACACGTGTTTTTATCCACCATACCATTCTGATATGCCTGATTTATAGTAATTCTATACTCAACAACATTCCGCTCAACTACATTTGATATTGATATATAACCCGTATATTCACTGCGCAAGTGTGATGTGAAAATATATAATACATTTGATATTGGTTTGTACCACGTGTGGTTCTCTAAGATGTCAAACATCATGTTAATATAGTTTGCAGTCAAAGACTACGATATTTCCCTCTTTGTCCAATGGTTTAATAACTATACAATTATTTTTTGGAAAGACCGTATCGCGTCACGTTCAGAAGGACTTAAATTAGATGGTAAAGATTTACCCCACCTGGTCTTCATAATAACCTTGCACACTTGTTGGGTGAAGGTCCATATTTTTGGGTTTGCTTGTAAAATGGGAAAGGCATGGGATCTTGGTTTGTATGTTTGAGGTGCAGCAAACAAGACATTCCCGGTTGTATCAGGGGAAGTCCCCTTCAACGCTATTTCTTCACTATGACTACGATCACCATGTGGATTATGTTCTTCCCATAATTCCATTAAGTCATTTAAAGCTTTCAAATCTTGAATAGTTAAATTCTTCTAGATCTCATTCTCCACATATTTTGACCTGGAGGTCAAATTGTTCTTATCATATATGACTTTATACATTAAGCGACAAGCAAATATACGGATGTCTTTCACTAAACTAAACTGCTATGCCTTTTGAGTTGGGCAAAATGTCATTCTCAATTGTAATACCTTTATCTCATCAGGTGATAAAGTATAAGAAGATTTATTTATTACTTCAAATTGGTTTTGTTAGTCAGTGCTTTCCACGTTTGAGGATCCATATTGAAAACCTTCTTGGCATCCAGAACAGGGGTCCCCAAAAAAATAGGCGCTGTGCGTAAGTCAAAGGACATAGTATTGCTTACCTTGGTAGGTGCAGGTGTATTAGGTGTACTAGAAAAAAGGGAAACTGCAGCCAAACCAGCAGTGCAGGAAGATGTGGCTAGAGGTGCTGAGTGACAGTAGAAAGCTCTAGAGCAGGGGTCCTCAAATGTTTTAAACGGGGCCAGTTCACTGTCCCTCAGACCGTTGGAGGGCCGGACTATTGTTTTAAAAAAAAAACTATGGTCATCCCCTGTACTGTGTCCACGTTTGTTCAGAGACTGCGGACATATAACAGCGGTGGGAATACTGGGCCGGCCACTCTATAAGACGCACAGACATTTCCCCCCAAGTTTGTCTTATGGAGCGAAATAGTGTCCCATCATTGGTATCAGTGGGAGGAATAGTGCCACATCATTGGTGTCAGTGGGAAGAATAGTGCCCTATCATTGGTGTCAGTGGGAGGAATAGTGCCCCATCATTTTTCCAGTGGGAGGAATAGTGCCCCATCATTGGTATCAGTGGGAGGAATAGTGCCCCATCATTGGTGTCAGTGGGAGGAATAGTGCCCCATCATTGGTGTCAGTGGGAGAAATAGTGCCCCATCATTGGTGTCAGTGGGAGGAATAGTGCCCCATCATTGGTGTCAGTGGGAGGAATAGTGCCCCATCATTGGTGTCAGTGGGAGGAATCGTGCCCCATCATTGGTGTCATTGGGAGGAATAGTGCCCCATCATTGCTGTCAGTGGGAGGAATAGTGCCCCGTCATTGGTGTCAGTGGGAGGAATAGTGCCCCATCATTGCTGTCAGTGGGAGGAATAATGCCCCATCATTATTATCAGTGACACCAATGATGGGGCACTATTCCTCCCACTGACAGCAATGACATTTAACTAGCCGACCCCTGTTCAAGCATGGTGCTGCTGCAGCCAGCATAGCTGGTTGCAGCAGTACCATCTGCACGGCACACTTACCGGACAGTCAGCTGTCGTCCTTCCTTCACTTCGGCCTCTCCCTCCCTTGATTTTTGCGGGGCCCGCTCGGCTACGCCTCCTCGCTGCCTGTGTGCCTTTCCTGAGCTACAGTACTGGTGCCCAATCACCAGTGAGGAGGCGGAGCCGAGCGACAGGGCGGACATCGAGTGAGGGAGCAGCCGGAGTGAAGGAGCTGCGCATCCTGGATTGGATCGTCGTGGGACTGGGACCGGAGCCAGGTAAGAGACAGCAGCTCCCTGCCCGCCCCTGTACTTAGTGTCCCCTGCCGGCGGGCCGGATGAATGTGCTTGGCGGGCCACATGTGGCCTGCGGGCCGTAGTTTGAGGACCCCTGCTCTAGAGGATGAAGATTGTGAAACACTACTCTGATTTTTCAGTTTATTTTGAGGTGTATTAGGTGTACCAGATAAAAGGGAAACTGTAGTCAAACCACCAGTGCTGGAAGATGTGGATAGAGGTGCTAAAGTAACAGTAAAAGGCTCTAGAGGATGAAAATTGTGAAACACTACTCCGATTTTTCTATTTATTTTGAGAAAAATGTGATTGATTTGAAGAGTGGTTTACCATAGAGTGAACCGGATTAACCTCATTCCCAACACCATTGTGTTTTTTTTGGGGTGTTTGTGTTAGAAGAGTCATACACTGAACCTGCTTGAATGGAGGAGACAGAAGAATAGTTAGAAGAAACATCTGAATAATCCGGATCCCCTGAATTTTTATGGGAACTGACTTTCTCATTAGGTGTCTGTAGGTTGACTTGACTTAGAATTCCATCTGTAAGCATAGCTAGAATCATAGGCTATCCTATCCTTAAGGAATTTATTCTCCTTAGATTTAATAATTTCACCTACCAATGTTTTCAATAATGTATTTAAATCACTTTGCTTTTGAGTACATAAAGGATTTGAGGTTAGTCCCTCATTCTCAGAATACCATTTACGAATCTAATCTCAGCATCCAATAAATCAATTTCTTGATTATATTGATCATATATAAGTTCCATCATTTTAAAAGAGCATGGCTGTCAATTCAATTCCCAATTTAATTTGAGATCTGCATCTGTTTTCATCAGATGTGGAAATGTTTGAATGCGTAACCCCCATGAAACCATTTAAAATTTTTTTTTTTTTTTTCAAAAGAACCAAGCTTTTCTCTCCAACAAATCCTGGCATCAGGAGCAAAATCTTTCTGTATCTACCTCTCCGGGAGATTAACTAATTTGAGTCTGATGGATTTGATCCATACACTCCTCCCAAGCAGTCCCCCGGAAATCGACCATATCACACAAAGATCCAACACAATATGCAACCAATCAAAACATACCAAAAATCAAAATATTAGGAATGACCGTAATGATTCCCCATGACCCTAAACAAAATGGGTGTTTGAAAACTCTAGCAAAAATTCCCCAACCAACAGAGTCTAAAGGGGGATCACAGCACCACATCCCAAAATTACATGTACAAGAAACCAGAAAAAGGCTCTAAAGAAGCTGGGACTTTAAAGGTGCAGTCATTCGATACCACACAAAGGTATGAATAAAACCATCCAAGTTTATTACATAAGGAAGGAAGGGGAGAGAGAGCAGTGGGAAACCTGCAATATATTCGCATTTTGACACACTGCTCAATAGTTCTTCATTGCAACCTGTGTTTTTATGCACCACAGCTGCAGTGCATGGAAATGTATGAAATTTCACTTTATGATGTAAATAAAAGGGGAGGGGGGCACTGCCTTGCATTGTAAAAACATAAGCATTTTCCCCAAAAGCCTGCTCAGCACAAATGCTAGCCTCCAGCGTAGAATGGAATGTTTTTATTTTGCAGATGGTGTGAACCTAGCCTGACACCTGCTGCAGACATCTTTAAGTCTAGGACACCTAATGAGTTCTTGCCTGCTCCTGTACTTAATTAGGTGATGATTCTCAGTTCTCCAGCTAAGGTTCCTTTCAATTCCTTCTCAGTAGTGGACACAGATCTGCAGATCCACCTGTTTTTGGTGTTACTGCACCATTATAGCGTGTTTGTTTTCCTTCTCCTGTCTATTTTGATGAGAGGAATTTTTTTTCTCTTTGTCAGTGTATCTGTCAGTCTATCTGACTTAAGATGATTCAATTTCTCTTAGAGATCTGTTTTGAGTTTGGTACACCTTTTTGGTTTCCTTTTGTTGACTGTAATTCTTGTCCTTGTCTGAGCATAATGTTTTTTCTTTGTGACCACCCCTGTGCTATTAGCAGTTTTCCTTTTCTGTAAGGAACGTCACCTCTCTTTGGTTCATTTAGGCATTGGTCATTCTGGTTGTAGCAGCTTGTGCCTAGTTCTCTGGACTACTACTACTGTTGAAAGTCCCAACTATTAAAGAATCCATGTGTCCCTCCCCTTACAATAAAGAAACTATGATATCCTAATGGTTCAGTGCAGGACACAGGCTACTTTATTCAAACACCATTGGTTAAAAGCTCATACTTTCAGGTGATTAGACACTGGTAAGGTTTATTATTATTTTTATAGCATTATTTAATTGACCTTCACTGTCTGTTAAAACCCACACAAATGCAGTGTTTCTAGATTGGTGCAACTCCAGTAAACATTGGGAGCTGTACCCAGACCCCACATTTGGGATTGGCTTGTAATGTTGCTTTGGGTACTGGAACCTGCGTGGGGTACTCACCTTGGCACTTGGTGCAACAAGATTCATTGCAAGACCATCTATGCTTGAGTTTTCATGTACTCCTTACTGACACACTTACCCTATCATGAATAAACAAAAACTAATAGAGAAAATCCTTAGGCATATTACTTGCATGAGAAAGTGTAGCAGTAGTGGGAATCCTCCACAGCCAATTCACTTGTAAGTCATCCACCATGATAATCAACTGTGTCAATTTACTTCAGCAAGAGACTTCTGTGAATCACCACCAACACATATTAAGTCCAAAACTTACCGGAAGATTGGACCTTAGAGCATAGATGTATGGTAAAATCCTCTTACAGGATGTACAAAAAGATCACAACCACCTCATCCATTTCCAATGACAAATCATGTCACCAAACCTGTAAGGAGAAAAGGAACACTCCAATAGTGCAGATTACCCAAGGCTTAGATTAAGCAAGATGTTATCACATCTGCCCATGGGTATTCATAAGTAGGACAGGGAAGTCTGCAAAGTTTGAGACTTCCTGTCTATGCCTAATGATCATTCCAGAGATGGTCATAAGGAGGAAAGTGAGGTCAGTGTCCAGAGCTCCTGAGTATGTCCTATTGTGATGAAATGCATAGGAAGGAGCTTCCAGGCACTGACACTGATGTCAAATGATGTACATCATCAATCATGTAGGAAGCAGCCTTTTTTGAGCTTATGGATGTGTTTTTAATGCAATTTTCATAATAAATGTGCCTTGGGTAATGTACGCTTGGTAATCTCCCAAGTCTGTCAGTCTGGGGAGGAATCTTCCACCCTGTCAGTTCAGGGAGCATGGTCAAGAGCAGAAACCAAACTTCCCATCAGCCTCTTACAGCTCAAAGCTGTCAGGTTGTCCCTCTAGTACTGGACCCCACTTCTAAAGAGAGACTTAATTTGAATGCAATAAGACAATGCCACCATAGTGCATATGTCAGACATCAAGCCTTGCTGCCTACACTATTAGGCAAGTGAGTTTTTTTACCAAATCATCATTTTTATGCATATTGTCCAATTTCAAGCTGTATAAACTTGAAAGCTTATTGGATTTAAGCATATCAGGTGATGTGTATTTGGGTAATGTGGGAGGGTGTGGCCGAAGAAGATCAAAACCCTATATCAAGGTGTGCATTATTAGGCAGCTTCTTTTCCTCGGGCACAATAGGGCAAAAAGATTTACCTGACTCTGAAAAGTAAAAAATTTGAAAAGGTCTTTCAGAGGGATGCAAACTCTTGAATTTGCTAAGATATTGGGGCGTGATCACAGAACCATCAAACGTTTTGTTGCAAATAGTCAACAGGGTCGCAAGAGACTTGTTGATAGAAATTAACTGCCCAAGATTTGAGAAGAATCAAACTTAAAGCTACCAGGAACCCATTATCCTTCAGCGCTGTCATATTCCAGAACTGCAACCTACCTATAGTGCCCAGAAGTACAAGGTGTTCAGTGCTCAGAGACATGGCCAAGGTATGGAAGGCTGAAACCCGACCACCACTGAACAAGATACATACATTGAAAACATCAAGACAGGGCCAAGAAATATCGGAAGACAGATTTTTCAAAAAGGTTTTATGGATTGATGAGATGAGAGTGACTCTTGATGGACCAGATGGATGGGCCTGTGGTTGGATCAGTATTACAGTAATAATACCAGCCCCCCACCTTCACCTTGCTGGCTTCTGAGTCGAAGTTGAGTTTGGTTCCTGATTTGATAAAAAACTCACTTGTCTAATAATTATGTACAAAGTGTAGAAGGAATCAAACCAGATTCCCTCATGGACAGAAACTAACTGCCCAGCAATTTCTGTGGTCTACATCCCAGGAGTGAACAACTGTCAGGCAGATTATCTCAGCCCACACCACTTGGACTAAGAGGAATGGTCTCTTCAGTTAGATGTGTTCAATCTCATATGCCCAAAAATGGAGGACTCTGGATCTGTACATCTTAGCCTCCAGATACAACAAACTACCTATGTTTATAGTCAGAACCAGAGTGCTCTAGCTCTGTCCTCAGATGCTCTAGTTATGCCCTGGTCTCAGTTCAGGCAAATCTGTGCCTTCGCTCCACTTAGCATTCTGCCTTTCCTGCTCCACAAAATAGAGCAAGAGAGGAAGATGGTGATTCTATTAGCACTAAACTGTCCCAAAAGAACATACTCTTAAGGTGCGCGGGTGGCCGAAAAACAGATGTCCTGGTGATCCGCTCCGCACCCTCCCAGCACATTAAGCGCTCTATAGTGGGCACCAGACCTTGCCCGGGCTCCGCACAAGCTCTGGTCAACTCCGGGCACTGCAGAGCTCTTGCCCATGCCGGGTCGTGTGGCTGGGTAGAGTCGGAGTGGCTCACAGAACCCGATCCCCGTGGTGGGCGGGGGGGTGCAAGATGGCAGCCAGCTCCAATCTCACAGTCTGCAGCTCTTCCCTCCAAGTTAAACCTCTTCCACAGAGGACCAAGGC